GACGTAATAAATTTATCTAAATTACCTCGATTACATCACGTTTGATTAATTAAAAAACTTTTCGCTAATTAGCCTATTGATTACAGAACACCTCAGTGTGTTGTGTTTATTTTTAATTACAGAATTATGATCATTATTAATAATTAGTAATTTCATACTATTATTACATTCTTGATACTGTATACCTAAATATTATATTATAAAAAATTATAAATTTATATCCTGGCAAAATTTTTAAAGGAATTTGGTTAGAATTGATATTAAGTTAGTAAAAGAGATATGTGGGTTTAGAGGGTTATTGTGCCTTGGAAATTCTACGACCTCCCTTGATTATTAATGGTCATAAAATGATCATTATTGTGATTATGGTTGTGATTTTGATTAAGGCCCATAAATCTGAATTAAAATTATAAGAAATTGACCAGCTTTAGTAATTGCAATCGCAATCACTACAGCACTATCATTTTTATAACTATTATTAATCAAGGGAGGTCACAGAATTTTGCAAGGCACAATAAATAGAAGTCAAATTTTATTTATAATTTGATTTCATATTAGTCTGCGAGATTTATTAGTTAATTGGAATACATTTCAATATTGATCTCTCTCTCATTAACATTATGTTCCGTAATTTAAAATTATATTTATATTTGTAAACAAATTATTGCTTCATTTTAATACTGGATTATTAAATTCTATAGTCCACAAACTAAATTAAAAATTGTGTAGTATTTTCCTTGTGATAGGCACTGCTAATGCTTTTCTATATTTTGACCCAAGTTCATTATCTCTAAGATATAAACCTCTAATATCTAAAAAAGTTAATGTAGTGTTTTTGCAAAGTGCATCTGCTAATGCTTTTCCTCCTTCTGTTCCAAGATTATTAGAACTAAGATCCAAAGAAGTTAGGGTAGTGTTTTTGCAAAGTGCATATGCTAATGCTTTTCCTCCTTCTGATCCAAGTTTATTATAGCTAATATTCAAAGAAATTAGTGTAGTGTTCTTGTAAAGTACATAAGCTAATGCTTTTCCTTCTTCTGATCCAAGATTATTTTCACTAAGATCCAAAGAAGTTAATGTTGTGTTCTTGCAAAGTGCATCAGCTAATGCTTTTCCGACGTCTGCTCCAAAATCATTACAAGAAAGATTTAAAGAAGTTAGCGATGTGTTTTTGCAAAGTGCGTCTGCTAATGCTTTTCCTCCTCCTGATCCAAGATTATTATAGTGAAGATCTAAAGAAGTTAAAGTGGTGTTCTTGCAAAGTGTATTTGCTAATACCTTTCCAACTTCCGATCCGAGTTTATTATCACCAAGATTCAAATCTTTCAACATAGTGTTCTTGGAAAGTGCATCTACTAAAGCTTTACCTCCTTCTGATCCAAGATTATTATACCCAAGATTCAAAGAAATCAGTGTGTCGTTTTTACAAAGTGCATTTGCTAATGCAATTCCTCCTTCAAATCCAATATTATTATCGTTAAGATCCAAAGAAGTCAACGTGGTGTTTTCACAAAGTGCATTTGCTAATGCCTTTCCCCCTTTTGGTCCAATTCTATTAGAATACAAAGTACCATCACCACCAAGTTTTAATTCCTTCAGCGTATTGTTTTTGCAAAGTGCAGCTGCTAATTCTTTTCCGACGTCCGATCCGAAGACATTATTACGAAGATTTAAAAAAGTTAGCGTGGTGTTTTTGCAAAGTACATGTGCTAATGCTTTTCCTCCATTGAATCCAAGTTTATTATTGCTAAGATCTAAAGAATTCAGCGCGGTGTTTTTACAAAATGCATCTACTAATGTATTTATTTCTCCCGGTCTAAGATTATTATACCTAAGTTTCAAAGAAGATAGTGTGATATTCTTGCGAAGTGCATCTGCTAATGTTATTTTATTAATAGAATAATCGACCGTTAAATGTTTAAGATATTTACTTGCTCGCAGAAACATTACAACTAAAGAGCATTTGATAGCATTTTCAAGTTCATCTTCTTCATATCCTTCAAAATATTCATCTTTGAAATAATATACATTATTTTCAACCCAAAGTTTGACTCCATAGAACAAATTAGAACCAACAAATGTAGTATAACCTTCATACTCAAATAATGGCTTCGGATAATTTTGAAAGCTAATATTAAAAGGGATCAACGGAGCTTGCTCTTCAACATTTAAAGCTAAAAGGTATATTCTTATAAGTCTTTTATCACTGAAATATTTTGTAGGTTCACTCCATAATATTGGTACAATAAATCTGCACCATTGACGGTTTACAAGAAGGCATGAAAATAAAGTTTTATAATTAGAGCGAAAATTATCTCGAAAATTGTTAAATATTTCAATAAGGCATTCGTTCGGCAAAGTTATCATTTTGAAAGAACTGCGGATTTAGTATTGATGGTAAAAAAATCGAATTTGATGTGCATATCGAGATTCCGGTCAAAATTGTCGATCAAGTGATTGACAATTTTGACCGGAATTATCTCTTATATTTAATAGATTGTGTTACCAGCATGCGAATCACACAAATCATCGACCAAATTAAGGAAAATTATTTTGTAAGGAACGTGATCAAACGATCTTATGATCCCATGTGATTGGTTGGATCATATGTGCATTGATTTGGTTTGATCTAGCTAAGTTTTTCATATATCACTAAGGTGGCCAAGGACTTAAGTAAGAAAAAAACCCCGAATTTAAGAGGTTAAAGGGTATAAAAATAGCAAATTTAATAGTAAAAATTGACGGAAGTTGATACGGTTTTTCTATAGGATTGGGATACAGCTAGTGATGTGCCGCGTACAGTACGCAAAAAAAATTTTAGAATATTCTAGAACAAATCATTAAAGTATCCCTATCTCAAATTTTTGATTATGAAACTGCCTTTCGCATTCTAACAAAAATTATTCCTTGCACAATGTTGCATATAATTGATTTATAAATGATACATCTATTATGTGTATTACGTATGCTATACATGTTATGTGTCGTTTATTGATCTCTGTCGATTCGGAATTGACGCCTGTTATTTTTAAATTTTCACCGATCAATAAATGACTTACGTATCATACTTGTAATAACGTAAATAAAAATAAAGATTTGCTTTTTTAATTTTTATTATTTTTTTTCTTTAATGAAAATAGAAAGGCAAACCTTTATTTTTCTTGTGATTCCTTTGAACGAATACTAAGAACGTATATTAGTCAAAGAAAAAACAATTGATGTTAGTGGATACAAATCGTATAATAAATATTTAGAGTTATTAAAAACCCCTAATGCATCATATAACCAAAACCTAAGTATCTAATAAAACTCGTGATTGTTGCCGTTGTAAAAAAACTAACTATGACACTAAATCCTGCTCTTGCGGGAGAAACAACATATTATATTCAAGACAATGTGATTGTAACTTGCGCGGTTAATGCAAAAATTGCTAGATAATTATTTTTTTCTCTCGACAAATAAAATTGCATTCAATTTTATTTTATTTTATTTTTTTTTAAAAAAAAAATAATAGTTGCAATTAGTTTGGTTTTTTTTTTTTAGCTCTTAGATTGGAGAAATTGAACTTATCATGAATATATAACTATGCATTTTTATTTATTTTATTATACAAAATTTTTAATGAGTACCGCGTGAATATTCATTAATCGGAAAATTCATACCGATTCCAAAGTGACATACGTTATTTTTGGATTCGTAAATGACACATGTCGATTCCAAATCGACCAGGATCAATAAACGACACATAACATAAACACTATACAACTATACATACTGTACGCGAAAAAAAATCAGATATCATGTAAATGCACATCTATAGATACAGCTAGCTTACAATGTAACGTTTTTTTTTTATGGCAAGTAAATCCTCCTTGAGTTTCTAACAAAGATTATAGAACAAGTCATTCCTGTTCTAATAGTGGTAGAATTATTCAAATTAGTTTGGTAGATCGCGAGCTATTGGCATTTTCTCCTTTATAACTATATGATTTTTATATAATACCAGAAACTTTCGGCGTTCCAACGTTTATAAAAGTAATAGTAATTTTCCGCCGAATTTTACTATGAAATTTATACCCTTCAACTGCGATCTACCACTTAAATAACATACCGTTATTAATTACATAGCTTCGTAATAAATATTAACATTGTGAAATCATAATAAATAATATAAAACATCACTCAAATATTCAGTATTGTTGAAAAACAAATTGGCATTGGTCCTGCTATTGTAGAAAGAATAACTCGTTAAGTTCAGGAGGATACGAATGTGCTCTACGTTGCGAATGCAATAATTCTTAATTATGTTATTAAAATATACATGGATATTTGATTATATTCGTTTAATTTAGTTTATATATTTTTTTTATTAAATTTCTTTTTATTAGCATCAAAATTTTTTGACTAATCGGTAAATGTATGCGAAATATCCAATAACGGATTTATTTTTCTTTTTCTGTTATAACGTGAGTTTGTGTGAGTCTATTTGGTGTATAGCAACTGTCATATGACCCTCGTTTACTACGAAAAGAAAATTGATTTTCGGTGAAATGACAAGGCCTATTTCTATTCTGTTAGTACAATAGATTTTCAGCATTACAACTTCGATGAAATGGTATTTCAGAAAAATGGATTTCGGTGTTAGCCAGGAAGCTTGTGACTGATGTACTCGAGAACCAATTGTATTTCAAAGAAAGAACAAAAAAAAGATTGGGTTTAATCGCAATACGCAATATCAATAAAATTATACATTTGAGTGCGTGAGAGTGAAAACCTGGAAACAGATCATAGTAAATCACTAAATCGGTTTCCAGGTTTTCACTCTCACGCACTCATTTATTTAAGATAAATATTAATTTTGAGTTGTGTTTATTTATTATGTTTGTTTCATTAACCCCGATGCTGTGCTCAAAAGTTTGATTTTAAACAACTAATTAATTTTAAGAAATTTTCTTTGACATGTAAATCAAGTAGTAAAATCTGTCTTTAATAATAAGACTTTAAATATGAGTAGGTATACTTTGATTCCAACGAAATAAATTATAAGGATCATATTTTCGTTTAATTTCCACCAGTTTTTCGAAACTTTCACCATAGTATCTATATTGCCAGTTATCCAACTGTCTATCAATTATATTTTGATAACTTTCATAATTAGTATATTTTAGTTGAAAATATTGAGAAAAATTTTCTAAATCCTGTAAACACTTTTCAGAAGGCATTATTGATGTGATTATCATATGATACATAAAACCTCTGTGGACGAATGCAGTTTCATTTCTTTTAATGTCATTAATTCTTCCGCCAAGTAGTGCTATTTCAAAGCCTAATTCACATTTGAAATTTTCTCTAAATTTCATTAGACATTTTACTCCTTCTTCAGATAATCCAGTCGAATCAATAAAGAATGACTTTAACTTAAAAGTTTCACCATCTTCAGGTGATATTCCCTCTATATTAAATAATTCGTACAAATCACCTTCAATATAAGACACATTTTTAGGTTTAGATAAATTAATAAATTCATGTATATGAGATTGCAATTCATCTGCAGATCCTAAGTAAATACCATAAATATAAGGTTGAGAGCCACTAGTTAAGATTCTCATTATGAAAGATAAATTCTGATGAAGATTATTCCCCATTTGATTCATTATTGAGATAATTAATGGAGTCTGATCCAAATCATACGTTAAATAAAAATAAGTAGCAACCTTCTGAATAGGATGTATCCTGAGTGTTAAAGCCGTAACAATTCCATAGCCTGCATTACCTGCTCCTCGAATAGCCCAAAGAAGTTCAGGATATTCTTTTGCATTATTAACCACAGTTCCATTTGCTAAAACAATTTGTGCATCAAGAATATTATCTGATGAACATCCAAATTCTCGACTAAGATGACCCATACCCTGTTAAAAGTAACATTGATGTTTATAATTTTTGTAGTTTAAAAATACAAAAACAAATACTTTATAAAAATTTTAAGCAATGCTTACACCACCTAATATAAGTCCACCAACACCAACATAAGGACAAACTCCACCAGGAAATGCAAATCCATACAGATTTACTTTGTAATATAATGAATCTAGTGTGTTTCCTGTTCCGACTATTGCAATTTGTGAAGTTACATCGACAGTAATTTTATTTAAATTTACAAGATCCACAACTAAATAACAATCTTTATCTCCAATACTATAACATTCAGAAGAATGACCGCCAGATCTTGCAACAATCGGAAAATTGAATTCTGCACCACATTTAATAGTATTTTGAATATCCAATATATCTACAGGATGAACAAATGCCACTGGAAAATGAATAATCAGTTTATTATATTCTATGTTAAGATCAACATTATAGGCAAAAAGGTCATCTCGAAAATTGACTGATCCTTTAATGTAATAATCAAGACACTTTCGAAGGAAATCTTCTTTTGGACATTTACTAAACGGAAGAAGGTGTGTAGAAGCACTAATAGTTGCAATTAATAAAATTGTAATGTATATATATGAAATCATTTGTTAAAAATTATTTGTACGTAATAGTGATTTCTCTTGATAATTATGTATAAATTTACTAGTCGATTTTTAAAAAGCAGTGATTTTTTTAAAATAAGGTATTCTTTTAGGAGCCCAAATGTTATATAGTCCCCATTATTAATAAAATTAATTACGTATAAACACAAAATAACACCAGGTAACGTACTGTTGCGATTATACGGTAAACAATTTATCTAGAGTAGATACTTAGTGGCTATGCTAAATTTGGTTCTTAATAAATAAGGCTTATTCTAAAACAAACCACCGTTTAAATTCGATAGTCCAAAATTTACTGGAATTATTTTTGATTTTGTTATGAATTTTTTGAAATGTACTACTTGTGGTACGAAAGCCTAAGTAGGTTTTTAAGCCAGTTATTTGGAACTTTATGATTTAATTTAAAGTCTAACGCTAATCAAACCAAACTAAACCAGACCATCTCTGACCTTAACGTTAATTAATTAGACAGTTTTGCGATATAACAACTACTGTATGATGTTAATCACATATGATACACTTTATTAGTGTTGATTAATAGGATCCAGAGTTTTGCAAATCGCAATAATCGTCGATATTTGCAAATAAAAAATTCGCTTCTAAGCCTGGTAAGGATGTTAATCGGTCCCGCAGTCAAAAAATAAAATTCCAAATCATGAATTTTCGAAGAGCCAAATAACTTGTCTTTAATAAGTAACCTTTATTGAGAAGAAACTATAATAAGTTTTTTTAATAGCTCTTACAAAAAAGCAACAATTTCGTTAGACCGGACTGGTCCTGGGACTGCGGTCCCAACACTGTATTTTAAGAAACTTTAAAACTTTAGAAAAGTTTTTAATTTCTCCAATAAGTAACCCTAGTTAAAAAATTATTATAAACATATTTAATTAGTAACTTTATCGAAAAAGTCATCTCTGAAGCTAACAATTTTTTTGGGACCGGTTAGCATTCCTAACGCGTGTGGGCAGTGTGCATATTGACATGAGGCGTGGTGCCTCTGATGTCATAGAGTAGGTTCTAAAATGTGTTCTCTTTCGCATTGATCAGATGTATAAAATGTGTTCTCTTTCGCATTGATCAGATGTATAAAAAGTATTTATTTTAATAAACAGAAGAACCTCGTTTCCCATCATAAATACATAGTCATAATGATTTTTACACATTAAGTTCACACCATCATTAACCCACCCTTGTAGAACTACCATGCCCTATAGAAATCTCGTATCATCCAATTAACTTAACTTCTATTAACATAACTTCTAGTAGTGGTTGGAGCTACACTGAGCATTGCAATAGGTGAATCTGTGCCCGGTTAGGTCATGTGACGATAATCAATTGATTTTCTACATGCGATGATCACTGGTATTTTGATGTTGTATTACCGTAACACGAACAAGTAATTATTAGTAGTGTAACTATAACGCATAATAAAGTTATACATAACCGCATACAAAATAAAGATTCGCGACTTTCTTCAGCGATACAATATTAGCAAAGTAATGCTAAAACGCAAAAAGACATATTTTTACTAAACAAATCGAACTATGTATTTGTTCTTAATAAGCATTCAATAAACTGGAATTTCATGTCTTTATTAATCATTTTTCGAAAGTTTAAATTGTTTTAAACGTGATAAAAAACAGGAACAATGTGAAACTTTAAAATGCATAAAAAACTTTTAATGAGAAATAATATATAGCACTAATTTGTTTAGTAAAAAATGCATCTTAATCTGTTGTAACAACAGTAAATTGAAATTGAATTAAATTTTAAAAAATTTCAACATGAAGACATTCAAATTTTTAAAAATTTTCAATGTAAAATGTTCGATTTTTTTAAAATATTTTTTTTTTCATTGAAAATCCAGTTATTATTTTTATTAGGATCACATTAAAACCTCACTATTTACTTCACAAGGTCTATTTTATACTATTAAGTGTGTTCTCTAAAATAGCCTGGTTTAAGTTATGTGGGCATTTTTTTTGATGTTTTTTCCATGCTGGCATAATAGAATAATCAATTTCTTGCAATTCAGCATTATTAATTTGTGAAATTTTTTCTTGTTTCTCTTAATACACTTCTTTGAGACCATGACTTAAATTTTTTCTATATAAAGCAGCAGTAACTTGGACTTTTATTCTCTTTCCGCAATGTCAATAACTCTTACTATTGGTTCAACCTGCATTCTCATCACAAGTATAAAGAAAAAAAGTTACAGCTGGATGAACATATGTATCTTGCATATCCCTGTATTGTTTATATGACTTAACAAACTTTTAAATGTTATTATTTAATGCAGGATCATCTTGTTTCAAGAGATTTTTTAGATCACTGCAAAACCAACAAAGTTCATTTATTGCACTTTTACTATCATTTGCATTATTACTATTACCACCAATATCGTCACTACTGTTGTTGTCAATACCATCGTTACTATCATTATCAGTGTTGGCAAATGACCTAAGTCATAACATTTTTTTAATATGACCTTAGTCATATAATCATATGACTTGTCATAGGTCATATACATAGGTCATATTAAATAATAATAAAAAAAATTTTTGTTATAAATTTTTTTATATTAAAAAATCATAAGTTATATCAATATTCATTATGACCAAATAACTTATGACAGGTCATAGAGGTCATATAGGTCATTTAAGGTCATCTGCCAACACTGATCATTACTGTTATTTTTAACAGTATTTGAAGATTCTGGTAAAGTGAACATATTTTCATTATCAGAACTATCAAAACTATCACACTCATCAGACCCATCACTATTTATGTTAATTAAAATTTTTTTGATGTTTGTTCTTTATCAGTTATTTTACTTGTATATTTTTTTTCAAGTTGTTCCTAATGAAGATCAGCATAAAAACTAAGAGATTTGTGCCTTTCACCTAATGCTAAGTAAACATAATCTATCTTTTTTCTGTAGATGTTATAGGGATTTGATTTAATCTACATATGTTATAATGTTTAGCAATAGAAGATTGATGCATATATGGCACTCCTATTTGATTACATTCACATGTTCTGAGTTTTATATCTACAAGATACCAAATGTTTGGATCTCTACTATTCCTATACCTATATACTAATGAATCCGGATTTATAACCTCTATTGCATCTTTTGTTCCAATTAACCATTCAGAAAGTTGAAAGCGAAGGGCAATGAAGTTATCTAATTTGTTATGGGCCACAGCCAACAATCTCTAAATATAATAAAAATCCATAGTATTAATAATAAACTGGAAAATTTGTACTATGTTATATGCTTGTACCCATTTAAAAATAATTTCTTTTATTATTCTAATCTCAGCCTAAGCGATGTTATTAGTATTATTATTACGAGTTGGAAGTATTGGCAAAAGTCAATGGCTCATTCATAATAATGTTACCAAGAAACTTTAAAGTAATTTTGAAAGGTTGGGTATTTTTGATAAACATTACTTTTTATTAAGTTTGAATAAAATATATTAAGTGCAATTTCCATTTTTGAAAAGATTATTTTTTTAACATGATCAATTAGAATAGCACAATTATTATTATGGATCCCATGCTTACTGTCCCAAAGCCACCTCCATATTGTCTACAAGAAATGAAAGACACAAAGAAGCAAAGTTGCATTTGGCCAGGTATTGTGCAGAGCTATTTTTCCACCCTACAATCATCTGTCATAACTATCTGTGGCCCAATAATGAGCCCCTGCCTACTAAATGCCATTAATGGACCCATTTTTTTTATCATCTCTAATGCCTTAGTAAAAGTAGCTGTTATTTCATCAGATGTAAGAATTGTGACAAGTGGTAGACCACCAACTGGTGTACTGGTAGAAAGAATCGTCAGAGGGGTATTAAGTGTATCGAGCCTAGCCATTGTATTCATATATAACAATTCTCCCAATTCTTGTAACTTATGGCATCACTTCATAAGATTGGTCATGACAACAAGAATGAAGGATTGTTCAGGATTATTTTTGTTTGAAGCAATATATTTTTGCATCTATGTATTTCCTTTTCTGTTAATATTAAATTCTTTAACCTTCTCTTTTAACTGACTAAACATGTTATTTCTATTTTGAGTACCCATATGTTTGTTAGGATATTTTTGATAAAGGTATTTTACATTATTTTTATGTAAAAATAATACCCTGTTAGTCATTATTTCTTCTTCATTTTCATATTTTAGTTTATTTGTTCCCAATAAGTATAATACATGCTATTAGGTCCATGTCCAATATCAAAAAGTTTGATGATTACATTTTTAGTTTCATCAAATAATAGTCAAAAACTTGTGATATAACTTGATTTTAGAGGATGGTTGTAATAAAAAAGTAAGTTGACAATGCACAGATAGGGATCTTTTTTTTTAATAGTTGAATTTTCATTGTTGCTGGACAATTTGTGTCTCATATTTATGTACTTTCTATATAGTCTACATCATTATGAATACTGTTTTTACAGTCTATATCATTATTCATATTGTTTTCATAGTATATATCATTATTCGTACTGTTTTCACAATCTACATCATTATTAATTATGTTTTCACAATTGACTCTTTTCCTTTGTTTTAGCTTCACAACATGACTGTGGATACAATGAAGTCATTTTGAAAGAATAAAGCAAGTGCCCTTGACAGTATAACCTTGAGTTTCTCTCAATATTACTTTATAAAGATTTATGAATTGTTGAAGCCATAATTTAACCTCATCAATTGTTTTAATATTTATGCAAAATTCACTTTTAAAAGGTTTTTCATAAGCATATAGGAATTCATATGGTGAAATTTGTTCAATCGATTCTACAAAATACTTGTAGTTTGAAGGTAATAAACTTTTTATAACAGAATCAAAAGTGTTTATGATTTTAATATTTAAAGTTCTAGAATAAAAGAGATTATTTAAGATTAATTCCATCTTAGCAATCTGACAAGCGATATTGATTAATTAAGAATCAAAACTGGAAATTTTTAAAGCAAAAGAATCAATATAAAAAAAAAAAATACTATATAGTAATCATAAAATTAATGACATAATAATTACGAAATGATCATTAAGTATGCATAAAAAATATAAAAGTAATAATGAAGTTAATAGAGGTTTAATGTAACACAAAGTTTATTTCAATTACATATGTTTCATGCTTTTTAAGAACCTGAGTAACTATAATGTTTTTTTTGCCATTCATTTTTTGAATAATATATGTAGGAAAACAAACATGTTTTCTAAATACCACCAAATTAAATCTACAGTTGATCCTCTAGAATTGTATATTGTTGAGGAAAGTGCACTTCTAGAATGTGCATTTATGGATAGGGATTAGTCTCAACCATGTTATGTTAACAGATCAAATGGAGAACATTTGTGATGGGTTGGCAATATAAGAGCTTAAATTATCATAGTAATTTTTAATTACTAATTATATCATCATTTCATAGTTAATATTTAGACCAAATTATAAAAGAGGTAAGTTCTTATTTAATGATCAAATTTTTTGGATATTTAAAGTTAAAATATTATATTAGTATTATATTATACTTTATATTATAGTTTTATTCTAGATATTTACAAATATCCAATAAGTTTATAGATTGTGTATGGTTAAAGAATAGTGAACTTAAAGTATGCAGACCAACTCAATATGATGCAAAAAATAAATACATGTGATATTTGGTGAATTTGGTTTTAAAGAAATAAATATAATTGATAATATGCAAATTACCACTAGTATTAGATATGTGACCCTCAGAAGATGACATAAAAATGAACTTATTAAAGAATTTCAACTTAAAGCTACAAAATACAAAGATGTAATCAAGTGAATAGCTTTTAACTGATTAGATAAAGCATATGTGAAAATTGGATATTATATTAGATTATGCATACTGTCAGTTAAGATATATGAAATTTTAGTTTTTTTTGGTATTAGATTGCTTTTATTTTATCTTTTTATTTCTTTATTTTTTTTTTTGAGATAATACTAATTCACATTAATTGTGAAATTCAAATTACTTCAAGGATCCTTTCGTTGATGTGTCACTACAATTCATTACAATTTAAGCCATTATGTATCACAGTAATGGTATTTTAGATGTTTGATTCCAGGTAAAGATCCTCGCAAATTCACAAACCATTTGCATTCTAGAGAATAATTTAAATATTTTTATTTACTTATTTCTTTTGTCATTTTACAAGTACTAAACTAATATATTCTAAACTTTGTCAATGCCAATTATCATAGGTTTTATTTTATTTTTGGTCAGTTCTGAAATAATGTCATTGCTAATTGTTTAAACAATTAAATATATATATATATATTCTCTTTAGTTCTCAATGTCTCTAGGCATTTTTATAGGGATTAAACTTTTTTGTTTATGCTTAAAGGCTAATAATCAAGCTGGAATGCTTAAATTAAAAGTCAAAATCATTATTCAATATAGAATGTAAGTAGGCTTTAAAGAATATTTTTGTTCTAGGAACATATATAAATATAGACAAAATTTACAATTAATGAAGTTAAATTTAAGCAAAAATATATGTATTTTGATTGGAATAAGTTGCGCATTTAGAGTCAACTGCGACTTTATATAGAACTTTTGGAAATTTTCTTTCGACATATAAAATGTATATTAATTCATTATCTTTATTTTATTTTAACAGTAGTTAAAAGATCGCTAGTTCGTGTTGTAACTACATTTTGAGTTATTACTGCACATGTTCTCTAATGGCTATATTTAGAGTTAATCAAGCTTTTATTTTATTTTTGAATTTACAAAAATAAAAGTATTGGACAAATATTGGGTTTTTTCTATCTGTTTAGAATGTGGCAAATTTATTTTTGAATCATTTCAAAAAAGTCTCACTTAACCATAGCTTTATTCAAATTTGTAATGAGTATGTTATACAGCAATATTAGCAATTTCTGCAGCCAACCGATTTTTTTTGGTCTTTGACTGGCCAAATTAACTAATGACCAATAGCCAAACTTTGGGCAAAAGTTGCTAACTTACATAATATTAACTAATCATACAGTATTGCTTGCCTTGTTATAAAAATGTTTGACCATTTCGACTAAATAATTTTTTTCGTCAATTTGGCTATTGGCCAGCCAAGTAATCAAGTGACAGCACTGTTATATAGTGAATGATTATGAATTCAATCGATTTTATGTTCTCAAAAAATTTTTTAATGTCATCAATTTAGAAAAATTTGATAGCATTAAAAAAATTTATCATTCTCAAATCAAGAACATAATTATTTTATAAATTACATTCATAAATTTATTAGTGCTCTCAAAGAATATTGAGAACGTTGAATTTACACGGTGTGAATGAACTATACAGAATGTATTACAATATACAGTATAACAATAATGGATGACATAGTTCTGTAATACAACCAAAAAATAACGTGATTCAGATAATTGTCACGATCAAATATTAGTGTCACAAAAAAAAACCCATATCTTTAGTCTTTTATTAGTCTTCTATGTTATAACGAACTTGATAATCTGTTTCTTAAATAACTGATTCTGTGATTCTGGTCGTAATTGCACATCACTAAAATCTTTTATTTTGCTCAAATTTCCTTTTCACTATATAAAATATATTAGGCATGTGTTATGGTTACACTACATCAAATTACTAATGATCATCGCATATAAAAAATCAATTGATTATCGTCATATGACCTAACCGGGCACAGATTCACCTATTGCCTGAGCATTCATTATGTGCTCTCTGCCATTACGCCAGGCAACAACGAATTTGTTAATCATATGACATCTGAATATAATGTTTTACGACATTTTATATTTGCTATATAATGGAGAATTGTATACTAAATCATAGTTCTTTCAAATAATGTTACCGAATGAATGTCTTATTGAAATATTCAATAATTTTTGACCTAATGATGATAAAATTCAACCTGATGATGATAATAATAGAATTATCAAACCTTATTTTTTCGTGCCTTCTTGTAAACCATTGATGGTGTAGACTTGTTATACCAATTATTTTAGTGATAAAAGGCTTATAAAAATATATCTTTCAGCATTAAATTCTTATAAGCAGATTCTATTGATCCCCTTTAAAATTATTCTTCCATATGATCCAAAGCTATTATTTGAGTACGAAAGTTATACTACATTTGTTGGTCCTACATTATCCTAATTTGGCTTGAAAAGGAAGGATATATTGTAAATATTTCTACAAAGATGCACTTGTAAATACTATCAAATGCTCTTTAGTTTCAATATTTTTGCGAGCAAGTAAAAATCTTAAATATTTAACTCTTAGAGATGCATTTTGCAAAAACACTTCGCTAACCTTTTTAAGTATTTTGGATAATAATCATAGATCATAAGGAGGAAAAGCGTTAGCAAGTGCACTTTGTAAAAACACCACACTACCTCTTTGGTTCTTATAATAATCTCGGATAGAAGGAGAAATAGCATTAGCAGATGCATTTTGTAGAAACATCACATTAATTTATTTGAATCTTGAAGGCAATTATGTTGGATCAAAGGAAAGAAAAGCATTAGCAGATGTACTTTGCAAGAACATCATGCTAATTTCTTTGAATTTTTTTTGAAAATAATCTAGGATCAGAAGGAGAAAAAGCATTATCAAATCTTAATGATAATAAAATTGAATCAGATGTTGGAAAAGCATAAGCAGATGCACCACACTGACTTCTTTGACTTTTGGTATTAATTTGATTGATTCAAAGGGATGAAAATCATTAGCAGACATACTTTGTAAGAACATCACTCTAATTTCTTTAGATCTTAACTATAATTATCTTGGATCAGAAGGAGGAAAAGCATCAGCAGATACATTTTGCAAGAACACTATGCTAACTTATTTGATCTTAGAGACAATCATCTTGGATCATGGGAGGAAAAGCATTAGATGATGAAATTGGCAAGAACACTATGCTGGCTTATTTGGATCTTAGTGGAATGATATTGGATCAAAAAGAGGAAAAGCATTAGCAGTTGCACTTTGCAAAAACGCTACACTGACTTCTTTGAATGTTTGTAGAAATTATATTGGTTTTACTATAAAATTTAATAACACAAGCATTAAAATAATCAATGATTTATATACAGTATAATAATGTAATTTCAAATTATAAACGCAATATTAAATGAAAGGAGTGTAGTATTGAAATAAATTAGTATAAAATTTAAGACAAATATATTTATAATTTAGAAATTGCACAAGAGGATGCTCTGTTTCAATTAACTAATAAATGTTGCTTTATTCTTTCTTATTATAAACTTAAACCTAAATTTTAACTGAATCTTTAAAAAATAGATATAATAATAGCACAAAATTATTAGTTATTGATAATTTATAATGCTTAATTGTAGTTTTGAATAGAATTACTAAAGGTATAAACATTATTAATTAGTCTTAGAGCATTTTTTAAAATCTTTAATTAATGTGTCAAAAATTTATTAAAGCCTAATTGGTGGAAAGTATTCAAATATGCATACCATTGATGTAAATAAAGTACAGAACACTTGATGTTTTACATTAAAGAAAAAAAATTTAGAATAAATTTTGTATATTCAGTTCTGTCATAAATTTTTTGTACTGGCTTATCAAAACTTTATTGGTTAAAATATTTTTATACTCTTTATTTTAAATCCTCATTACAAACGTTTATATTTACAAAATTTCCTATAATATTTAATAACCAATTTTGAATCGATAAAACACTGATTAGGACCTTTATTTTTGATCTATCACAACAATTGAGCATTATAAAAAGAATTATACTCGAATAAATCTAATATTTATTCATACTATTAAGCATTACAGTGTATTTGTCAAATTTAACTAATTTTTGAAACCCAAATTTAAACTTTGGCCAAAATTTATTAAACACTCAAAAAATTATTGACA